TTCCGGGGTTTGGTGTTGATGAACCATGTTTTAGGTATGTCATCGAGGCTGCTCAGCTTTCAGAAGGGGCACTTGCCTCGTTCATGCCGTCGACGCATGGCAGTAATCAAGATTGTCCAGAACAAGTAGTACCGGCAACTCGTGCGAAGTCCTGTTCGAAAGAACCAGCAATTTTCCAACCCCTGTAGACCGTGCGACTCCGGCCGGGATTAATCGAAACGCTGTTTTAGCTTATGTACTGTTCCTAATAAACTGCCGTACTGTCTATGTGTGTTCCAAGACATAAAAATCTACAAGGCCTCAATACGAATTATGGGAAAAAAGTTACCCACTACAAAATTGCTGGGGAAAACGAAAAATTACCTTCAGCGCTCCGGTTGATTCAACTGTGAACCAAAATTTGTTTGGTTTCGCAAGTGGATCAAACGGCGCCTCGTATTCATCTTCTTCCAACTGCGAGTACTCACTTTTCGGCCATTCTTCGGGCTTTGCCAGAACTGTATGTCTGAGCGCATTGTCTGGATCGTATTCAAACGCTACGCCACATGTTGGATTCCACTTCGCATGCTCCTTGCCAAATCCCTAAAAATCTGATTAAATGCGCCGGATATAAAACGAATCTTTCTGAAGTCAAAAAATTCCCTTATTTTCTCTTATCCCTGTCAAGTTTTGACCAAAGTGTTCTCTGCAATTCTGGCTACGATTAGAAATAATCGGATTTCGATCAGCTCGACTGCCCGCTTTCAAAGCAATTGTACTAAGCTAGCATATGTGTTCTAAAAAGTTTTAACAAACAAATTATTCAAAAATTATCCTTGATTTCAACACGGCAAGCAAGTAGAGAACTCTACCTCACGGCTGTCGCTGCTCAAATTCTACATATCCTTGAAATCAATGAAAATTTAAAAAAAAAAAAATTTTGAAAACAGTTCCAGACCTTTTTGGCGATACATTTGATATCGACTTCTTGGCCTTTTCTCAACTTCACAATAAGAATATCCTCACTGGTACTGTCTTCAGCATTACGATTTCGCATGTGTATGCCACAGGCCGGGGCCACGTCTGGATTGCTGGTTTCAAC